AAGAATTTGTTACTCACAGTTCCCTAGAGGAGGGGACATGCCACGCCATGCAGGGCCACGCGGGGAGGCACTGGGGTCAGTCAGGAGGCAGGAGGAGGGAGGGGACAGCCTGCACCAGAGCCTTTATTGTGGGCCCATGGCAGGAGTGAGTGCGCAGGGCAGGCAGGCTTGGGATCATGTTGCCAGGCTCTGGGCTACAGGGCTGTTCCCTAGTTGTCTGGTACCTGGCTCTGGAGTGACCTGGGAGCGGGAAAATGTTGGCTCAGAGAGTGAGAGTTTGATAAAGGAAGTGATTGGAGTATAGGTTTTGGATTGGTGGGTTTGCATATAAAAGGTGTGCTCCCAGGCAAGTTGTTCACTAGCTCTAGCAATTATTAATAGCTAGGGAACTGCTGTTAATGACTGCTCTGGAAAAGTCAGTCTCTCTGAAATCAGAAAAGCCATACAATATGAAAGTGTAATGAAATACAGGAAACATAAAACATAATAAATATTAATACACTAACCTCATGGCCACCTAGGTTGGGGGTCAGAGTGGGCTGAATTTAACCTCAGCTCACCCCCTTATCAGGGAGGTGAGTGCTGGGTGCATCTTTCACAAATATACAGAGTAGCCTTGACCCTGGATCCTTTGGGCTGCAGTGGAAAAACAGGAAGAGATGTAATCCTTGCAGCAGAGACGGAGAAAGAGCACCTGTACACCCACAAGCTAGGAGAACTGCAGGGGTGAGTGGGTGGTCCCAAGGCTGTGAGGAGACAATATCAGGTTTACATATCCATTGGCCCTAGAGACCCAAGGTAGACCCTCACACACTTGATCCCTATAGCGATCAGACCTTGGCTAGCGAGCCTGGGGAAGAGGCATGGGAAGGAGAAGAGAAATAGAGAAGTCAGTCATCTACCTCCCACCCCAACTCTTTCCACTGCAGGCTTCCAGCCTAAAGCAGGCTTAGAGGAAGGGGGACAGGAGATGAAGATGTGTCATTCAATCTATTCAGTTGGGCTGATTTTGATTATTATTTTATACTGGCCAGTCCGATGTCTAAATTGAAATTGTAATTCTTGGATAGGACCCTGCTCAGTCTGAGCAGAAAAGAGCTGAGCCCCTAGAATGGGGCAGGGAAATAAAACCCCAGGGATTAAACTTTAGAGGAACAAGGAGACAAAGACCCAGGTTGTATTAGATGACGTTCCGGACTGTGCTTATGTAACACAAAGTTACATTTGTAACACACTTAGCAGGGAGCTGGGCATGTGGAGAACACTTGGTCAGTGTCAGCCATTATTAGAATAGGAGCCTAGAATAACAGTCTAAATATGATGAAATATAAAGAAGAACATATCATTTAATCCCCCAAATTGCTCTGTAAAGTAGGTCTTGCTCTTCGCCTTTCTAATCCAGCAGCGTGGAGAAATGGCCACCTCTGGAGCCCTTTTGCTGTCAGCGGCATAAGTGGCCCAGCCAGCATCCAACCTCCCCCTGCCCATCCCGCTCCACTTGACTGGGGGCCATGGGCATGTTGAGATGTCTTTTATAAGAACTTGACTTGGAGTAAGAGCAATGATTTCAACTCTATGTAAACATTTTTTGCAGATTTATCATAGTCCAGAAAGATATTACTTATGGACTAAAGCAGTGTATAGCTTATGGGAAATATGACCAGAATTCTATTTAAAAAATGGAAACCTTGCAGATTAAAGAACAAGATAATACAGTTATTGCAAGGCCCATTCACCTGACCTGATTGGGAGTTAAAAATCACCTCAGCTGACAACACTGACTTTTCCCTCCTCCTGAGTGAAACAGCAGGGCAAACTCTCTGCCCGTGGTCTCCTGTATGGATGCTCTTGCATTTTACCACACCCAGCAGGCTGCACTGACACCACAGAGGCTTATCTTTGAGGTTGTCATTTGGTGGCTCCTTATGATCTTATGTCAGGCATGTAATACCCAGTTTTTTAAAACATGCCTTCCTTTTGAACAGCCCCTGAAAAAGACACTCAGAGGGCACTCTCTGCAAATGGCAAGGGCTGTTTGTGAAAGGGACCAGTGTGTAGGAAAGCCTTTTCTCATGCTCGTTTGTTCCTTCAATAGACATGTATCTATCCGCTACCATGTGCTGGCAGGTCTCTGCCTCCAGGCCACGCACAACTATGTAAAATGCTGAGGCCTCAGCTCTGTGTTGGGATTGAGTGCCCAGGAGCTCCATCAAGAGCCGCCGAGGGTCTGAAGCTTCACTGGCCCTTCCCCTGAGTCTGGTGGCCTTGTGGCTCCTCCCTGGTCACTAGGCATGTCTTACCAAGCCTCCTGGATCTGAATTCAGACTCTGGGATCCCAGACTTGGTGACCAGTCGTGCCTCTATGACAAAGTTGTGGCCTCAATGAGCCATTGAACCTCTCTGTGCTGCAGTTAATATTTCTGTAGAGGGAGGATAGTAACAGGCTGTCTGTCCGCAAGCTGCTGTGAGGATGAGAGGAGATGAACTATGCAATGTGCTTGGTAATAAAAACCAATCTTTCCTGTTGAACACCTGCAGTGTGTGCAGCCCTGTGCTTTGCACTCCAGACATCCACTCATGGACCTCATCCTCCCAACAGCAATCCTCCCCAGGAATATGTGTTGTCTTTATCCCCATTTTACAGATGAGAACACTGAGGCATGGGCATTTCAGTAACTTGCCCACAGCCACAGTGAATGGGGATAGAGGCAGAATCCAAATCCAGACAGCCTGCAAGAGAGCTATGCCCAAAACTGCTCACTAGGTTGTCCTGACCCACGCTGCAAGCCCCTACTCAGTAAGGGTTGCTGGTGGCGATTTCATCTTTACCGCTGCCACTGGGAGAGAAGACATGCGTGGTCATCGTCAGAAACTCTTCCATAAAGCACAGGGCACAGCAGGGTCTTTATTGTGGACCCATGGCCGGAATGAGTGAGTAGGGAGGTGGGCTTACTCATTGAGATGATGTGTGTGCAGGTCATCCTAGCTATTTTTATTATTTGGGTGGGCCACATGTATAATATGAGTGGAAACCCTTCATTTAACACACACCTATCCACACACCCAATCGCACTTTTCTTGGCAAAAGGTGAGGGGAATAATCTCTCCTAACTACAATACCTCTCCCTGCAGCCAACTAATATTTCCAGGAAAACTCTGGACGCTTTCTGGAAAAAGCCAGGTTCACAGATTCTGCTGCTGGCTAAGCTCAGTCCCTCTGGAGTAAACTCTTATCTGAGCTCCACTCTGGACACTCCCGATCCACACCTTTTCCACTGTTTGCCCCAGGGATGTGTACAGAGTGGCCACTGCCATTTTCCTTCTGGAGTTCAGAAATGTTGGCGTCCCAAGCTGGGGGCTGCGCCCCCTGAGGTTTAAAGAATCCACCTTTTCTCCAGAGGTAGAAATAAGACCACACTCACCCATGTGACCTCCCTTAAGAAAGAGTCCCATGTCCTTGTATTTAAGACACCAGAGATCAAAGGCTATACCATGAACTCGATAACAGCCTTTCAGGAATAAGTCATGCAAAGTTAAACGTACCCACTGACTGTAAGATTTTTAAAACACTGAGTTGTAGACTCAAGGAAATAGAGAGTGTCCATCTCAGTTAGTACATAGACCCCTCAAAGGCTCCCGTTGTCCTCAAGCCAAGTCCAAGAGCCATGGAAAGGCAGCAAAGCCACCCATGACCTGACCTCTGCCCCAGGCTCCAGCCTCAGCTCCCACGTCTGCGGCATCCCCTGACCTTGCATTCCCACTACAGTTGTTGTTCCCCAGTGAGCCTGGGCAGATCATGCCTCTGTGTGGTTGTACATGCTGTTCTGGGGGTGCCCTTCCATCCAGTGGCAGCTCCAAAAACCACCCCTGGGAAGTGCTCCCTCTGTGCTGATGCTGTGGGAAAAGATTGGGCTTGATTTCCACCTGCGTGGTTCCTGGCTGGGCGGCCTCAGCACAGGAATCCCTCGGCATGCCTTTAATGTGCAGCAGCAGTGTTGGCTCCGTGTGGGGCTGGTGGCTGTGCCGTGGAAGGAGACAGCCTTGGGAAGGGCTCACACCACACCTGGCATGTGGTAGGAGCTTCCTGGTGTTGGTTCCCTTGTGTTTTCTCGGATTCTGTTTTTGCGCTTACTGAGACAGCAGCCAAACCCCGAGAGAAAACAGAATCAACAACAATACCACAGACAGGCCTAGTGGGAATTCCACTTCTATGTATGTTGGATTTTTTTTCTTCCTGGCCCTTCTTTTTAATCAAGCTATGACACACATGCCATAAAATTCATCCTTTTAAAGTATACAGCTCAGTGGGTTTAGGTATCTTCACAGAGTCTGGCCACCATCAGCTTTCTCTAATTCTGGTTATTTGCATCACGCTAGAATGAAACCCCACATCGGGGAGCAGTCACTCCCCACACCCCTGTCCCCGGCCCTCCCAGCCCTCCGGCAGCCCTAGCCTACCTCTCCCAGCCTTCTAGCGAGAGCGTCCCTGAAACTGGAAAGCTGACATTGACCTTGCCAGTTCCTCAAAAGGCGATGGAAGAGCTATGCTGGCTGGCGGAACCAGAGGAGTTTTGTGAATAAAAACTAAGTACAGAAAAGGGAATCAAATCTAAGGCACCCCTTAGGTGGAGATGAGGACTGGACCAGCTGCTGGCCATGTGCTTACTCTGGGCCTTGGGGCCCAGAGTACTACTCTGTGGAGGTGGAGTCAAGCAGCCCCTATGGCCTTGGCCAACCTGAGCCACCTGCTTTTCAGAGCCACTACCCAGGTCACCATCTCACAGGGGACTCTGAGGAGTCTCTGGACTCACACATGGAAAATGCTGTGTGCATGGGACTGGTGCGCAACCTGGCTCAGTTCCTTCCCTTAGCCTTTGCTCGTGGGGATCACGCTGGGCAGGAAGACCTTCTGCAGGGTCGAAAACACCTGGCCCAGTTGCCCAGTCCCCTCCACAACGACCAAAGGCCACTGCACTCAGCAGCATCTCCTTCTCCCTCAGGAGAGTACCTGGCCGTACCTGTTTGGAGTGATTGCAGTCCCTGCCGTCGTCCAGCTGCTGAGCCTGCCCTTTCTCCCTGACAGCCCATGCTACCTGCTGTTGGAGAAGCACAACGAAGCGAGAGCTGTGAAAGGTAAGGGCCCTTTCCTTTCCACCACAGCTCCAGCCCCTGCACAGGTTAGCCCTGCAAGGCGTGCTGGGACCTGGGCCAATGGGCACAGGAAGGGGTGTTTTCATTGTTCCTCTGCAGGCACTGGGCTGGGTGTCGTAGGGTACCTTCTCATTTCATCTTCCCAACAGCCTTGCTGGGGGGACAGAGAGGGAACACAGAGTCACCCAGGGAGTCACCCAAGGAGCCTGGAAAAGCCAGAACAGACAAGATTAGATGCAGGTCCCTTCACTTCTGGCATTGTGTCCCCACTGCCGCCTCTCTGGTTGTTTCCAACCACAGAAATGAACCCATCTCAAATTTCTGAGTGACTTAGGTGCATGGCGGCCCTCCTTCCACTCCTTCTCCCTTCACTGACTTCCTTTGTCTTAACATTTACATGCCAGGAAAGGAAAAGATGCCAGCACAGATTGAACACCAGATCCCACCAGGCACTGGCCTGAGTGCTTCTGCACAATGACCCATGGGACCTTGCCAGCAGCCCTTCAAGGGAGGAAGGAGTATACACTCATTTTACAGGAGAGAAAAATAAGGCTTGCAAAGGGACTTGGAAGTCATCTCAGGCTTTCTTTAAATGCCCTAAATGGGGGGATGTTGAGTCAGATTCAAAACCTGGGTTTCAAAATCAGAGACATCTCTCTACAGAGCACTGAACAGGTAAAATTATGTTGCCTAGAGATAGACAATGCAGAATGAACAATCACATTCTCATTCTTTTAGTTGACAGCACCATGGTTAGTGAGGCATGTGAAGGTAACCAGCACTACCTTCATATGCAGCTCTGCTGTCTGACCTTGAGCAATTATTTTTTTAAGCTTTCTGAGTCTCAGAACCCTCATCTGTAAAAAGGAAATGACACAAACTTCCCTCGTGGGGCCATTGTGAGGATTGAATTAGATGGCACATATATAAGGTTCGTAGTATTATCTGCTATCATTATTACTGAGAACTCTGTTCATTTTAGTTCTAATCTAAATTTCACCTATGTCCAAATTCAGGAAAAAACTTCAGAATTATATATACAATTTGTGCAACATCTTTTGAAATTCACCCTACCTAAGTATTTTCTGAATTAACAAATAGCATAATGAAATAGTAACAATTGCCTATATTTGTCTAGCAGTTTATGAAGCAGATTCATTTTCTCGTTTATAACATTTCTCTGAAGTGAAGTCAGAGAAGGTAATTGTTATTACCTTCATTTTGCAGATGAAGACACTGAGGCTTACAGGGATGAAGTCAGTTTCCCAAAGCAGTGGGTTTTGGCTGATAGAGATTTACAGAGGCTTTTGAAAACCTGATGGAAATGATAGTGTTTTCTTTAATACAGTGACTGTATACACAGAATTCTGCCCATGGCTTGGTGATGGCCCTGAGACTTGAGCCCTCATTTCTCCAGAGGACCTTGCTTTGTAACTCCCACCCCCTGTCTCAAGTCCATTAGTAACCAAAGGATTGGAACCCAAGGAAGATTTTCCTCTGTGTACCCCTTGTTTACAGAGAGACACCAGGAAAGGGAAGTAGTGGGTATTGTACCAGGTGACTTTCCATGGGGCCAGTGAGGATAAAAACCAACTAAAAGTTGGGTTCAGATGTTTGTCAGATGGCAGAGGCTCTGGAGTGAAAAGAAGGGGACTAAGAGAGAGAACCAAGGGGACCTGATTCCAGAAAGCACCAGGACTGTGCAATATTGGAAGATGGCAATCCCTCCAGCTCTGTCTCCACTGGCCTCGGAGGTACCCTGCACCCCATCTGGCTCTACTCGGGAAAAGCTCTTGAGAAATGCTTCAGTTAAGTACAGTTGGAATGAATAGTGCATGTCAATGCCAGACAGCGAAGATGGTTTTAAAGTTTTATTTCATAGCACAGTAGGGAGTGCGGGAGAAGTGCAGTTACAAAACATTATAAATATTACATGTACACTTTATAAAAAGAACAAGGATGTTGGCCTTAAGTTGAAATAGATTATTGAAATTTTCATCTGTACTTATAAAAGTGCTAATTTTACTCCAGACATTCAGCAAGCAATGGATATTTACCATGTCGGGCATTCTGCCAGGTCATGGGGTAAGACAGGGGCATGAGAGAGGGTGAGGTAGGGTGACGGTCTAGTTAAGGGAGATAGACAGAAACACCCACTAATGACTCACTGGTTTTGAAAACTATTTCATTCTAAGCACTTCACATACATTAGATCACTAAATCATCACCACAACCATAGAAAGTAGGTCACATTTTTATTTCCATTTTAAGACCAAAAAAAAAAAACCAAAAAACAAAGAGGATGGGATAAGTTGGCCAAGGACATAAAGCTAGCCAGTGACAGCACTGAAATTTGAATTCTGACAATCTGGCTCTGGAACTTATGAATGTAAACAAAATCCACTTTATTACCTAGAACCATGCTCGGCACTGTGGGAGATACGCCTTCTGCAACCTGTTGATAGTTTGGGGAAAAGGGGCCCTGTATCAGTCAACTATTACCGTAATACTGCTGTATAACAAAACACCCAAAAGACATTGGCTTGAGATAATAGCATTCCTTAGTTCACAAACCTACAGGTCAACTGTGTTGTTCTGTTACTCTTGGTAGGCTTGACCTTAACATCCTTCTTGGGGCCAGTTGAAGTTCACCCACCTGTCTGGTGGTCAGCTGGCTGACCTAGGTTGGTTCTAGCTCTGCTCAACACATCTCATCCCCAGCTGGCCAGCAGGGTACATTCTCATGGTGATCAGAGAGGAAACAGAAAACACAAGCAGTTTCTCCAAGCTTGAAATCTCCTAAAATCCTGCTGGCCAAAGTCAGCCACATAGCTAAGCCCAAAGTCAGAGTAAAAGGGGGCTTCAGAATTTTAGGACAGAGGACATAAATGTAGGGAGGCCACGAACTGGAGCAATCAACACAATCACTTTAGACAAGAGGCCCCTTTTGAGATGTTCCTATCCCCACTCCATCCCCACCCCCAGTTCACAGTGACAGGGAATGAGTCCCAGGCCCTGGGTCTTATTTATTTATGCCACCCTTGTCAGTTTAGGAAAGCCCCACCCTCCAGTGCCTAAAAACGAGGGAACCCCCAAACTTCTACTGTGAGAAAGGGAAATTTATCTAATTGAGTAAAAATGAAATATTACTATAAGGAATGTAAAAGGATGGACAACAGTTCAGAAACTAGTGTCAAGGAAGTTGCATTGATGGCTATAAGAGGCAGACACTGCATTCAAAGCAGTGTAAGCAAAAGGGAAACTTTTGACTATGTTGCTCATGATCTGAGGGCATCAGTAATGAGCACTCTTCCTCTTTCCAGCCAAAGTTGAAACCAATCAAGAGGTGGATACACAAGTGGAGGAGGTAGGATAAAAGTATCATTCTTGGTGTGAATAAAGACCACTAGGAGATTTGGCATTAGGTATGATGGCCAAGAGAGCCTCATAAGGTTGTACTCCAGAACTGAACTTGCCACCTACTCATGGCTCTCTGACAGGGCCCATCCCTGAAAGGCTTAGAACATGGAACAGAGTGTGCTCTTTTAGCTGGACAGGTCCCAAAAAGAAAGGGAGGAACTAAGCTGTACAGGCCATTTCTGTCCCCCAGCTTAAATGATTAGTTAAGTTCCCTCTCATCTCCTGGAGAGGAGTGAATGAGGTGAAGAATGACATACTAATACCCTTCCATGAAGAAAGCAGTATCCAGAACTGGTAATAAATATTCTCCCTAATCATAACCAGTGAAAGGGCTGGGTTTCCTTCAGGTATGGTGAAATCCAGGAGCTAAATCCAAGTCATTCAGGTACTGACTCTCTCTCAAGAAACCTTGCCATTCTTAGTATTTCATTGGCTTCATTCTTAGACAGTCTTTCTGTACTTGATATGAAGACAGCCCTGAGCAGCTCCAACTTCGTAAGACTATCTCAGAAGGAGAGACATTCTCTTTCACACAACATACATTTCAGTCTCTGAAGAAACTAATTCTAATTGGTCCTTCCTGGGCCACAGCCATTCTTGAACCAATCACAGCAGTGGGAGTTAGAATTCCCGGACTGGTAAGTTACCATCCATTTTGGTGATTGGGAGGTGGAGGGTTATGAGGTTTGATTGACATTATCTACTGAGATTATTGGGAGCACAGGAGGATAGCTTCAAGAAAAAGATGCAGCAAGAGAAAAAAAGTACAGGATGCCCATCACCATGCAAAAATGACCCTTTTATCCCATCTGGATGCACCTTCCCTGGTAGTGCTATGTCCCCTGTCCCCCATGGTCTGTGTTGGTCTTTGCTGTCAGAACTCCAATTGGGGATAGACTTGGCGGGGAGCTCAGACCACAGCCCCTAGATAAGCAATTCAGAGCAGTCTTGACATGTCTCCTTTTTTGTTGCTTTGTGTGTTGGAAGGAGTGTGTTTTTGTGGGATGCAGCATTTGGGAGCCAATTATTGGCTGGAACCCTGGCCTAAATGGAAAAGGAAGATTATCCATTATTGGCCAGCGTTGGAATGTCCATTGGCATTATGATTGGAGGAAGTTGGTTTCTTTTTTTGTTTGTTGTGGTAGGGAAAGGTATATGTATCATGATCAAATCCTGCCCCTTATGATAAAAAACTCAAAATAATAGTGTCCTAAACAAAATAGACATTTGTCTCTCTCATACATTTTAAAAAATGCTCAAAGTAGGTCATCTACAGCTTTTATGGTTCTTCGTGGTATCAGAGACCTGGCTCTATTCATCTTTGACTGCCATCCTCAGAAGGTCATTTCACTGCCCAAAGCAGCTGCCATCGTGACTGCATTCCAGCCAGAAGGAGGCGGGTGAGAGAAAGGAATTGTCTTCCCCTTCTACTCTAAGAATTCTCTTGGAAGGTTCACATACTTTTGCTCCTGTCTGCTTCATCAGAAGGGAATCCCATAGACTCTCCTGACTGCCAAGAGACTGGGAAATGTAGTTCTTCAGTGCGCCATTGCCACAAGAGT